TCAGCACATAAAAAGCCCTTCCCTCCCCGATGACCTTGGTAGAGCTCACATTCTGACCAGTGATATCTGAGAAGCGTCTTCACTCAATCAGCAAAACATCGAAAGACTCTGACTTGATCGCTTTAAGGCAGAAGAAGCGAACAAATAGAGATTGAGAGGTGTCAAAAGCCCAAACTCTCAATGACCTCACGCCGGCAAGTCATCCCAAAAAATTGATCCCCAATCCCCCCAAACTGTTAACCCCTAGCCTAACCACTCTTACACAATCTACGACCCAATATGTTCACAACTTGAAGCCCTATATATCCCCACAATCAAGGCTGCCCGGAGGTGGCGATGCCTGGTCAGCCTGTTCTTTGGCCTTCTTCGCCTCCGCCAGGCGTGCAGTGGCCTGGAAAAAAGCTCACCGTTGGTCAGGGAGGGGGTGCGGGGAGGCTTGTTTGTAAGACCTTGGTGCCGGCTGGCCGAATTTCCACAAAATTTGGGTTTGATGCTTCAATGCCGAGAGGACTTTTCACGTCACCGTCAGTCATGTACGGCCGATGTTAGAGCAGCAGACAGAATGGGAGTGAAACGATGTGTTGTGATTCAACTGTTGGGTGCGATCTTTGGAAGATAAGCCAAAACCCCAGAGTCTCAGAACCCACAAAGACGGTTTGGGGTTTAGGGTTTAGGGTTTAGGGTTTAGCTTGTGAGCTCATGCGCCATTTCTTCTGAGACCTCGTTGTACTTGGCGATCGCATCATCGATGTCGGACTGAATCTCCTGCGCATCCGAGTCCCACCCCAGAACATCCCCAAGCACAAAACTGACCGAGCTAATTAGAGTATCCCTAAACAAACCCTCAACACAATCAGCCTGAACTTATGTAAATCCTAACAGGCGACAAGATGATACACAAACCCTCAACAAACCCGAGTATCGGTGTCGCTATAACCTGAACTTTCCCTTTTTCCTGGCTACCCACCCATAGCCCCACCCGCCTACTAGCACTGGACACCTTGAAAGAACACCTAAAACTTGCGTCCCTCAATCCAATGCCTTCTCGCGGGAGGCCATGGACTCACCCAGGACGGGGCCGAGGAAGTAGAAGAGCCTCGAAGGTAAGCCCCGCAGTGGCCACTGTTCCTATGCCTGCATCATGGTTAGTAATGACTAGTGCCACTGTGCTCACAGCAGAAGCTCAGGAAAACCAGTAAGATTCGCTGCCCGCTCCTCCTACAAACTCGGCTGCAAAACCCTTTTTGGGCCCCATGCAGGATGCATCCTGCACCCAGTTGTTCTCCGATTCTCCACAGACAATATCACAAATCTTTGTGGGCAACAACCGCCGTCAGCAACAGCAAGAGCCGCTAGGCTGTCGCGAACGTCTAGTTCTATGCCGGCTCTCTGTTGACAAGATCTTGCTATGAACACGAGCGGCCGTCTGCCACGAGAAGCAGCATGTCACAAAAGAGAGAAAACAAGGCCAACACAAAGCAAGCAAGATGCAAAGTTCGAGTCTCTGCCACACGGAGCGTCTTGGCTGAGTGCATAGGATGTGTGTAGTCTAAACTGTGCGAACTGTACAGGGTGTATGTGCATGGTGGTTTCGGTGTCCGGCATATCATTATTTTAAGGGCTTTCATTAGCACTTTTTGGAGCTGCTGTCTTGGGATCTAGTTCTTGCCTGCTGGCTTCCAGCCATTAGTTGAAGACGTGCCGTGAGTTTCTGAAGACCCTGAACCAGTTTCTGAAGACCCTGAACCATAGTGCCTTACATGCTACAGTCATTAGAATTAGAACAACCCCACTGTGCCGAGGTCCTGCGCTGCATCCAAAATCCCACACCCATAATCACAGGCAGTGCTACATGACTCAGAGCATCGAGCCGAGGCCCCCAGCCCAGCGACAAGGATTGAGATATTGATCAAGTTGATCCTCAAGTCGCTTTGGGCTTTTGGGGCTCTTGGGGTTGAGGCCTCCAAGCTTTTCCTTTTGGCTCTCCGGGTTTAGGACATAAAGTAACGGCTGATATAAGGTGTAGCGTGGAAGGTTGGAGGCCCTCTGGGGCTGTAAAGTTGACGACACGTCAGTTTTAAGCTTCAGGATTGCCGGGGCGTAGCCGGCTAACGGATGGATTGCAAAATCGCTTGAAGCTGCGTATCTCAAGAATTGAGCTTTGCCGTAGCCATGTGGAGAAACATGAGCATGCACTGCACTGGCAAAGTCACTGCGTCTTCATTGCAGCTGGTCTTCAATTGCAAAGGTTGTTGACGGGGCCTAGTCTAGTATCCAACCTTATGAAGCTACGAGCCCGAATGGCAAACCCACGAATGTTCGGGCACCCCTTGCTCGCGCCCAACCCTGAAGTGAGACTCCTTGCCCTAACTCACTCGGGGAGACCCCCGTGGAAAACCACTCATCTTCAGAAGAAAAGATTTTCACGGTTGAATTCCTGATAGAGACTTCAGCCCTGCGGAGACCTTTCCCCAGAGCACTGAAACATTCGGCTCGGAAGGATTCAAGTTGCAGATTTGCGGAGGGCCGAACTTCCCCCAACCGTAAGCATACCCAGGACCTAGGCCATGAGTGCCGGGCTCCGGGATGTTCAGGTTGAGGCCGAAGCCGCCCCCAAGCTCGATCTGTTGCAAGCCGTGGGTTTAGGAAGACAAGAGTTGCACATATGTAATCTATATATATATATACATATATATATATATACATATATATATATATGCACACACACACACACGCACATGTAAAATACCAGTGCATCTAGTCGGGCCATGAATATTCATAACTCCTTGTATCCTATAGCCTAGCTGGTCCCCTGACACATGTGACATTGCATGTGTGTATGGTTTTTGCTATTCGCTGTATACGGTGCATATTGCGAAGCAAATCGTCATAAACCCTGAACCCTCAACTCAAACACGCTCCAAAACCGCTTAACGAACGTAAGAAAACATCGCAGACACCTCGCCTTGCCAAAATTCAGCAAGCCGCCCTCCTCCTCGGCGAGCGCCGGAAGCGCCTCTGCTTTGGACAGGATTCAGGCTTCAAGCTCAGAGTTGGGGCGAGTTCAGGATCCCGTGACTTCTTGGTGTTGGTGAGGTCGTGATAGCTGCAGAGTTATGAAGACTCGAGGCTCCACTCGGATTTTTGCTGTATGTATATGTATGTGTATATTTGTGTGTATAGCATAGGTGCTTTGTTATGGATAAGGCCGAGACATGCGGGACACGCAACCTAGACAAGGCATCCTCTTGAAAGCATCAATGAACAGCACTATGCTGTGACATCTGGGATGGGCTGCTGCTTCAAACAAGGCTGCACTATCCTTTTACTCTGAACGGGGTGGCGAAGAGCTTGTACTTAACATGAAATGCGATCCAACGAGCAGAAACGATGCGCACCTGAAAGAGAAACCCACTGCGGCACAACCGGTGTCAATTCCGAAGTCCGTGATGGTGTCATCAGTGTCATGAGTGCCTTGACTTAATCGTGTGGGAGTCCAATCTGTCCTGCAAAAACGGCAGCAAATAGCAAGTCCCCTTCTGTCAGAGGACACCCACCTTAACCTTGCGAAACTGTCAGAACTGTACCTGGCTGTAGCTCAGAACTTGCTTGATCAGTTCACCTTCCCAGTACACCCTGCAGGACAGAAACAAAAGCTGTTTCAATCCGTCACAACACACACAGACTCGCGTTCGCGTGATCGCTTGAACAGCTGTCTCCCTGCTCCCGTCATGATAGCCAGATCGACCTTGGATGCCCTGTTACAAAACCAGAGGCGCAGGGCATCTCTGTGCATCGTTCATAGAATAGAACTCAGCTGACCCAGCCTGGCTGCCCGATCCTGTAACTCAACCATTTACATCTCGCCTACTAAAGACAAGATCTACTGACCACCCCCCCTTCACTGAGGCTCACAGTATTCACGTCGGCAGCACGGGGTACCAGTGTAAAATCTTCCAGGGTCGGCACTCCACTTGCTGCGATCGCACCTGCCGACGCCATGGCACCAGCCTGAAGCTGAAGGGCAGCTGGGTCCGCAAATCATCTTGGCTGCCGTGACTACTGGTCCAACTTCTGGCCTTCCCACCATCGGTCTAAGGTTATGTCGGCTGTGCAAGTGCCTGAAAAAGAACCAATGAAGCGTCATGGAGATGGCTTCTCTTGCTTTCCTTCGGGACCTTTCCCCCAGAGTGCGGTGTTTCGGACTCGGGTCCGTTGTGTAAGGTTGTTTTTGCGTTCATGGTTTAGGTTGTAGTTTGAGGGATTCAGGGCTGCCTACCTCTGTTTGAATACAGCTACTTTCAATTGCCCCACCGCCAAGTCAGCACCGCCATCGTCTCCACCAACACCAACATCAGTAGCAGCAGTGGAAACCAAGACAGTGACAAGCCTGAACATGACAGTGGCTGGGCTATATAACGTAGGATTGAGGGCACGTGCAAAAAATGTCTGGTTTGAAGCGATGTGGGACGCAAGAGATGGTGGCTGACACGAGCCACGGCCTTAAGAAGCTTCCACGGCTGGGGTACCCAATAGCATCGACAGCAGGGCTTAGGTAGAGCAAGATCTATTGTACAGGATGTTTCTCAAGCGACCTCAAAGACGATGCCCTAAGCAGCGCTTCCACAAGTCCGTGTTCCGATTGCCCAACAAGGCCAGCCAATGCACATCCGAGGCCCTTGCCCTAAGATTGGGCTTGTTGGCAGGAAGGAAGGCAACCTCATCCGAACTGCTCTGTGGCATGTTTGATGGAGTTCGTAGGGTCTGATAGGGTTCCACATCACAAAATCCACGAAGCAAGCCCTCAGTCAAAAATGGAAGGCCAAGCGTGATTGAGGTTGCAAGGCACGGCGTTTGCATTTCAGGTGCTCGGATTGACAGGCAGTGGGGCCCTCAGTAGAAGTGCAACTTGCAAAACACACTAAGGCTTAGCGCTACTAGCACTACTAACACTACCAGCACGCACTACTAGCAGCACTACTACTACTATTACTACTACT